ACGCCCAGCTAAGTTTTGTATTTTTAGTAGAGACAGGGTTTTACTGTGTTGGCCAGGCTGGTCTCGAACTGCTGACCTCAGGTGATCCACCTGCCTCAGCCTCCCAAAGTGCTGGGATTACAGGCGTGAGCCACCACACTTGGCCTGCCAGTCCTTTTTGTTGTTGCTGTTGTTGTTTTTTGAGACAGCCTTGCTCTGTCGCCCAGGTTGGAGTGCAGTGGCATGATCTCAGCTCATTGCAACCTCTGCCTCCTGGGTTCAAGTGATTCTCGTGCCTCAGCCTCCTGAGTAGCTGGGACTACAGGTCCATGTAGACCTTGTGATCTGCCTGCCTCAGCCTCCCAAAGTGCTGGAATTACAGGCGTGAGCCACTGCGCCCAGCCAGTCCTTTTTTAATAGGAGCATTTGTCTTTCTTTAAGGCATGAAAGTTTGAGGCCTGCCAGTATCTAATGTAATAGAAGCAGTTTTTGAAGAGCAAATTATAGGGAGTCGTTATATTTTGAAATTCTCAGTGCCTTAAAAGAATAAATATGAACCATAGCATGGAATAGTAAGCACTTATTTGCGTGTGAATGTTTGATACTAGCTTTTGGTGAGAAGTCTCACACTTGTGCTAGCTTTAAGGAGCATGTTTAAAGGTATGTTGGTATGTTCATTGAAATGCAGGGGTAACACTGAGCATTGCATAGATGCTATTTTTAATTTAGGAGAATCCTATGCAGGTAGGTTAACTTTTTTAAACCTTACAGTTCAAAGTTGTTGGTTTTTTGTTTTTTTTTTTACCCCTCCTTTTCACATCCCAGTTCAGAGTTTTAATTGTGTTTCCTAGCTACTATTTAACAATTACATACTTCTCTGCTATCTCTAAAATAAAGGCTTTTTATTAGTTTAGGATTTAGTCCAGGGAGAGCTTTTATTGCTTGAACCATGCTTGAGATGAAAAGAACTAGGCAGAAGCATGTGTTGCCCGTCCCCGCCTGTGCCGTTTCTTCTCAGAAAACCCTGGCTTGTTGATTGTCTCAGCCTCATGGTCTCATTACCACCAACCTCCTTGTATCCCAGACTCCAGCAGGTACACACACTCACACATGTGCACACATAGTTTAGCTTGTGGGGAAGGAGTAGGGACATGAGGATATGTCCTCAGGGTAGAAGCTGGGACTGTGATTTTCTTTCTGTCTTTAGCAAATGTAATACGCGTTAACACCTTGGCAGCAAAAGTGGCCTGCATCAACTGGATACAAGGTGACTGTTCTAAAACAAAATGAAACAGCATAATCTCAAATTTGTAGGCAACATGTGAGACCCAGCGAATGGAACTTTAGCAGGTGGTTTGGCCATTAGCCGTGAGCATGCTCAGAGTGTGTTTAGGCAAGTGAACAGGATGTTCTCTGTGTGTACTGTGTAACCTTGAGGCCTTGCATCTATTTCCATTTCCCTAGAAATGAAATCTGAAACAGATAGGCTGCTTTCCTTCCCCCTGGCTTTCCAAAGAAAAGTAAGGCTTGTGGATGTGCACTAGACTGTGGCAAAATGCTGGGGAGGATGGTGGTAGTTAGGGATTTAAGTTTTTGGTAAGGCTTTTTTGTTGTTGTTGTTGTTAGAACTTGAGTGTGATAAATGGCTTCTTTTTAAAAGTGGGAAGAAAATACAAGATCATTAACCACTTACACATATTTCAAATGGCTTAGAAATTTAAAACGAATTTGTTAAGGTTTGAGAAGCTGAGTTTGTTGATTTCTGTGGTGGATAAAAGCCGATGCCGTATCTGGAAACTGTTTTCCTCTTTTTCTTGGATACCTCTTGAATCAGATCTGTTTAATGGAAGAGGATTTCTCTTTTAAGCTGGCTATAATGCCTGTTAAACTTTTGTTTAGGATTTTAGAGTCCTGGAATGAATATCATTATCTACCTATATAAAAAAGCTGAAGTCATTTGAAGAAAAATTAACAAGTGCAGGAATATGAGCCATTTGAAAATTTAAAAATGCATCTGAGAGAGCTTTCCGAGATTCAGAGGGTTTTATAGATTTTTTTTCTGGTTTTTTAATAATTGAACTTGATATGAAAGGTACATATTTAGCTGGATGGACTTATGAGGCTGGTAGAGGTCAAAGAGTTTTGAAATTCTAGATTGTCTTTGCATTACCTTTGGTCTGTTTCTGTATACTGAACTAATGATTGAAAGGATCTGTGGAACTCAACATTTTTATGGATTTTGTGATACAAGGGGAGCGCAAAGATAGCTGCATGCTGTAGATTGGTAGGAGTTCTCTTGAAAGACAGGCAAGGTTAGGAGAGTCTGGGCCACTTAGCTAAGCCTGTTTGCTTTTGCTTTGGCCATAGGTGCAGGCAGGCTGTTTTACAAAGAGTTAAAGTTCTGCTTCTAAACAGATATCTTTCTGTTTCAGTGTTTCTTCCTGGTGCTCAGAAAACCATATGTGGGGAAAATAGTGTTCTGTTTGGAGGTTAAGGGTGTTGCCTGCCTGAAAGCACCAGTAGTAGTATTTAGTATTTATTTTAAAGTGTGAAGCAGCAGATGAAGAAACCTTCCGTTTAACAAAAGGGAGCGAAGCCCGTGGTTTCTGTCTCAGGAAATGTGCTTCTACCACTCCTTTAAAGCTATGAAAGTTAATTTCACAGCCGTGGGGAAAGACTTTGTTTCCCCTAAAGATCAGATCTTGAAGTTGGAAGTTGTCATTTGGTCTATAGCTTCCACAGAAGAAAAGCCTCTTGGAGTGCTTACTGTGTGCCAGACACATTAATCATAGTAGTAACAGCTGACATTTAGTGCATCCTGGGCCGGGCACTGTGCTTTTTAGCACTTTAAATATCTTCCTCAGTCCTCAGAATAACTCCAAGAGGTAGGTACTATTTTCATTTTTCTGTTTTAAAGATGAAACCTTAGGCCCCAATCTCATGCCAAGTAAGTTGTAGAGCTGAGTGATAAGCTCAGTCTGTCTAACTCGGGAGCTTTGACTCTGAACCACTAAATTTTCTATTATGGTACTGATAATTCCCTGGACTGTCTGGCAAAGAGGGTGGTCTTATTTCATCAAGGGAGTGGGCTCAGAGAAGATAAGTAATTTAATATCATAAGCCTTGTGTTGGAACCAGAACTCATACCTGGGCCGGTTTAAAGTGAAAGCTTATGTTCTTGCCACTGAGTGTATCTTATGACCTCTTAGAGTACATTACTGTAATCTGATTTACAAAGGTCTTTTTATTTCTTTTGTCAGCTGTCCTCTGTTTCTGGAGGGGAGTTGTTTAAAAAGTTGATTTTTGGTTGGACATGGTGGCTCACGCCTGTAATCCCAACATGCCATGTTGGCCAGGGTGGTCTCAAACTCCTGACCTCAAATGACCCACCCACCTCGGCCTCCCAGTCTACTAAAAATACAAAAATTAGCCAGGCATGCTGATGCACTTCTGTAGTCCCAGCTCCTCGGGAGGCTGAGGCAGGAGAATCACTTGAATCTGGGAGGTGGAGGTTGTGTTGAGCCGAAATCACACCTCTACACTCCAGCCTGGACAACAGAGCAATACTCTGACTCAAAAAAAAAAAAAGAAAAGAAAAGTTGATTTTTGAGGTGGTTGTTGGGAACTTGATACGTTGTCTGCTGGCAGCGATGCTATACCTGGTTGTAGTTCTGAGGCTGTCTGGCCAGAGCCTAGTGGTTTAGTCAATACGTGCTACCTCCTTAAGCTGCTGACCCAAACCTGGCTTCCAAGATCTGCATTGAGTTCCAAGCAGGGAAGAGAAGCAGATATGTGTTCCTAGTGTCCAGATTCCATTTGTTCCTTAATAAGTGTTAACTCCCTCCATGTCAGTAACAAACTACAAAGTATGGGTTGTGGTTGAGTACAGAGCCTCTGAGGTCAGACTTGGTTCTGTCACCCGCTCTCTACTAGGTGACTTGAGGCAAGGCTTTTAACCATTTTTCCCCTTGAGAGACAGGGTCTGGCTCTTGCTCACGCTGGAGTGCAGTGGCGCAATCATAGCTCACTGCAGCCTCCAACTCCTGGGTCCACGCGATCCTTGTGCCTCAGCCTCGGGAATAATTGGGACTACAGATGAATACCACTGCACCTGTTTAAAGGCTCTTAACCTTTCTGAGGCTCAGTTTCCTCATCTGTAAAATGGATGGATGTCCTCATGGGTTATTGAGGGGCTCAAATGAAACAAACAGGCCTTAGATGCTTGGAATGGCATCTAGACATGGTGGGTGTTCAGGAAGTGATGGCAGTGGTGGTGGAGATAGCAGTAACTTCTCTGCTGCTGGTCCTTCTCTTCTGTTACAAAAGACCAAGACCTTTTATAGCAGGTAAAGGTGAATGCGCTCTGGAGTAGACTGTTGTGTTAATGCTCTGAATTGGATATAAAGTAAAATTTGGATTCCTTTTATTTTGTAGGCACATGTAAGTCAATAAATTGCCTTGTAATTTAAATACTATATTGTCAAATTCTATGTTGTACTTTTTTATATTCCTTAAAGCCTTGACTTTTGTTGGAAATGCACTTGGTTGTGTTGAACAAAATATTTGAGGAAAATTTTTAATGATTAGCTTCGATACTACCATGAGCCTTTAAGTTCTTGTTGAACTTAAACATGATGTACACTTCATTTCTCAGATGGAGAAACTGAGGTAGGAAGTAGGGATAGGCTTCGCCTAAGGGCCATTGACTAAAGCATGAGTGAGCAGGCTTTATAAGGGCCAGAAACAGGTTGAGCATCCCTCATCTGAAAATCTAAAATTCAAAATTCCAAAATTTTTTGAGCACCTACATAACACAAGTGGAAAATTCCACACATAAGTACTTAACACAAACTTTGTTTCATGTATGGAATTATTTAAAATATTGTATAAAATTACCTTCAGACTATGTGTATATAAGGTGTATCTGAAACATAAATGATAAATCTCATGTTTAGACTTGGGTCCCATCCACAGGATATCTCCTTATGTATATGCAAATATTCCA